TATATATATATATTGCACAAGTGAACCACATTTACCACACTTTAACACAATTACCCAGAAACATCAGTCACAGTTATGTAAAGTGGTTCAAACGATATCTAGCAGTCTTCCTCAACAGTATTGTTGGTCACCAATTCATTCAACCTTTATTTATACAGGTTAGTCTCATTGAGCCTCGGGGACTCATTTACAAGATATTCTCCAATGGACGGTACCAAGCTGGTCATGTGTGACTGAGATTAACTCACTCCAAAATGGAAATAACAGACAAAACAAACTCCTTTTAGTGTTATTAAAACATGTTCAAGGATGTAAAAAATAGCACTACATGGTAAGATGGATGTACACAAATACAGACGCACAATTTCAAAGATCTGAAAGGACTCTGGCTGAGTTTCTGAGGTAAACTGTTCACTTTATTTTAGAGCTTGAAACGTCATGATTCAGCTTTTTAAAACACAGTGTTTTGTGGAAACACAGTGGGAAACATTATTTTACTGTACGACAACAAACACACACACACACACACACACACACATGCACACATGTGTGCACGTGCGTGCAAACAAACACACACACACACAAATTTACTATCTTATAGTCTTGTGGTGTCTTGTAGAGGACACCAAACCAGAGAAGAACTTTCAGATGGAGGGGTTATGGAGGGATGCTGTGGCTTACATTCACATGGTTTCTCTGAACAGGTGATGAGGGGTGTGGCCTGTGCGCCACAGGTGTTGGTGGTATCAGGTGGAAACCTACAGAAAAAATGGAGGCTCATTCCTCTCTTGTAGCAGAAAGTCAGAGAGGACTTTTTTCCCTGTGCTTTGTTTTTTCTTTTAACAACTGATCTTGGCACCTCTTCAGCAAGGACTCTGGAGGCCGGGGGTAGTATCCAGTGGTGCAGGGCTTGTCAGGAGAAAACCTGGGAAACTTGAAATCCAGGGGAAGATCTAGGCAAAGGTAAAAAATAAGAAAAAGTTCAGGTGATTCTTGACTCTTTTATGAGCCCCCAGTTAAATGAGAAAACCCTTGGTTCCAGTCAGCAGGCAGCATTCACTCAATGCAGCAGATGTTGTGTTCATGTTTGATGTTTCACCTCCAACAAAACACGTCTGGACTGACATAATCAGAATTTAATGCCTTAAAACAACAACAAATAAGAGTAAAAACTACCTTTGTAGGAAATACAAAGTCCACACTTTCTCCAGTTCTGGGTTTATATGTTTCAAGATACAGATGCATGATACAGAGGATCTGGTCTTTACCGGGTTCTAACATTTAACATTGCACCAGTACCATGTATGTCTACTTAATGTATTTTTGCATTGTAAGGTCCTTCCCAGCCATGGTCAGCTTGGCCCAAGTCTTCCCCGGCTCTGCACAACCTTGGTTGTTCTTGCATGTGGGTCGGATCGTCATAACAAGAAAGCTCGAGGCACAAGTGATATCATTTTTCACAATAGCCAACGATGGAAAGCATGGAGCTCATGCTATTGTTCATCATTCATTCTCTCATCAATAACAAAATTAAAGAACTAGAAAAGATTGCGTGCTTCTAGAAAAAACACAGACAAAACATGCATGAGAGTGCATGAGGATATCATACTGATGCCGGTGTGAAAAACAGCGTAAAAAGTTAAGCTAATACTAGTTTTTGTTAGGTTGTTTATGATTGTTTAATGTTGCACGGACAACCAGGACAGTGAATCAGTGGCCTGCAGTCTGCTGATGTCAAAGCTTCAGCACCAGTCAACCCCCATGGAACCCTGTCTCCGGGTTCTATAAATCGACCTGGAAGTGGGCTGTACTGCCCAATGCAAAGACTCAGAACCTGGGATGGAACCCAAGCTGGGCCAACCCAGGCCAGGCCAGGCTGGGCCTTACAATGCAAAAGGTGTTCTGATACCAAAGTACCATTACCACCAACACACTCCTCCAATAGAAAAAGCTGTGTGAAGAGAGTTTAGTGAACATTGCTGATCAGTGTAAAGTGACTGTAACTCACGTTCAAAAAGTTATCAAGAGGTACATGTTTATGAGCAGAAACTTGTGTCATAAAAACTGAATTTGAATTGCTCAGACTGAATCTGTATTCACGTAATTTGCAATTAAATCCATTGGTTTGAAAAAGAATTCCACTAAATTAAAATTAATTTACTTTGAAACTGTATTTTGTTGTATTGAAAATTCAGCTTGACTATTTTCATTTTCAGTTCTGTAATTCAATTTCAATTCCAAAATTCAGTTTGTTGTGTCACACATCTGTATCCTTGAGAAACCATGAAGTAATCAAACGTAGATTGACAGATTTATGTTTCACGTCAGTGAAACTTCCTTTATGGAAATGTAGACATGGGGTTCAGTCTCAAGGAGACAATAATGCAACAGAATGGATGCAATCCACTGTAAGTCAGAGTCAGAGTCAGAGATTCTTTATTGTCATTCGCACCTCATGTGGTACATGTGGTGGAGCGAAATTATGTACACAGGGTCCCAGTTACATCCAACAATAAAATGTATAAGAAAAACAGAAATAACATCTAAGATATGAACTAAGAAAAACATCAACTAAATATACACTAAGCACTCATAACATAAAACATTGAACATCAGCACAAACATGAACATGAGTCTGTGAGCAGATGTGCACGCATGAACACATCAACATTAAAACAGATCAGCAGCATCATGAAACAGATCAGCAGCAACATGAAACAGATCAGCAGCAACATGAAACAGATCAGCAGCAACATGATATGGTTTTTCACAGTGATTATTCTAGTTAGAGATTCATGAGTCTAACAGCCTCAGGGTAGAAGCTGTTCCTCAGTCTAGTGGTTCTACACTTAATGCTCCTTAACCTCCTTCCTGAGGGGAGTGGGGCAAAAAGTGTGTGTGCTGGGTGAGTGGGGTCCTTCATGATGCAGGTGGCCCTCTTCCTGCATCTGGAGGTGTAGATGTCTGTGATGGTGGGGAGGCTGATTCCAACAGATTTCTGTGCAGCCTTCACCACTCTCTGCAAAGCTTTTCTTTCTGCAGCTGTGCAGCCTCCATGCCACACATTGATGCTGGAGCACAGGATGCTCTCCACTGCACACCTGTAGAAGGAGGTGAGGACTGAGCTTCCCAGACCAGCTCACCTCAGCCGTCTGAGGAAGTAGAGTCTCTGATGAGCTTTCTTGATCAGGCTGGTGGTGTTGTTGCTCCAGCTGAGGTTGTCATTCATGTGTACACCCAAGTACTTGTAGCTGGAGACCACTTCCACCGCAGATCCTCTTATGTTCAGGGGGGTGTAGGTGTTTTTGTTCCTTCTGAAGTCCACAATCATCTCCTTTGTCTTCTTCACATTGATGTGAAGGTTATTCTCTCTGCACCAGCTCTCCAGGTGTTCCACTTCTTGCCTGTAGCTGGACTCATCATTGTTTGTGATGCATCCCACCACCGCTGTATCATCTGCAAACTTTACAATGTGACAGCCTGGATGGGTAGCTGCACAATCATACGTGAGCAGAGTAAACAGGAGGGGGCTCAACACATCCCTGAGGAGAGCCAGTGCTGAGGGTTATGGTGGAGGAGGAGAGGTTGTGGATCCACACTAACTGTGGTCTGTTTGTTAAAAAGTCTAGTACCCAGTTGCAGATGGAGGGGATTAGTCCTAGTGTGGATAGTTTGTCCATCAGGGTTTGGGGGATCATGGTGTTGAAGGCGGATGTGAAGTCACAAAGAGCATACGGACGTAAGAGTTTTTCTGCTCCAGGTGGTTGAGCGCAGTGTGAACCACAGAGGAGATTGCATCCTCTGTTGATCGGTTCTCACGGTATGCATACTGATGAGGGTCCTCGTTGATGTTGATGGTTGTTTTGATGCGAGTCATGACCAGTTTTTCAAAGCATTTAGCGACTATCGGGGTGAGGGCCACTGGCTGATAGTCATTCAGACCAGTCACTGTAGAGCTTTTTGGGACTGGGATGATGGTGGCAGTCTTCAGGCAGGTGGGAACTGTCTCCAGGGTAAGTGAGGTGTTAAAGATGTCTGCCAGCACCTCACAGAGCTGATCAGCACATTCCTTCAACACTTTTCCAGGGATGTTGTCTGGGCCAGTTGCTTTGTGCGGATTAATCCTCTTGAAGGTACTCCTTACTTCTGCTGAGGTCACGCTGAGATGCTCTTCATCCGGTGGTAAGGTGAGTCTGGTGCTGGGTGGTCTGTTCAGGTCTTCAAAACGTGCATAGAACTTGTTGAGGGCATCAGGCAGAGATGGGTCTTTGGGGCATTGTTCACTCCTTCCTTTATAATCTGTTATGCACTTAATGCCCCTCCACATGCTCCGAGGGTCTTGTGAGATGAATTGACCCTCGATCCTCTTTGCATATGTGGCCTTGGCCCTCTTAATACCAGCAACCAGCTCTTTTCTTGTCCTACTCAGCTCCTCTGAGCTTCCAGACCTGAAGGCAGTGTTCCTGGCTTCCAGCAGGGTACGCACCTCTGCATTCAGCCAAGGTTTTCTGTTTGGGTAGCTTTTAACATTTCTGATAGTGGAGACGGTGTCAGTACATGTACTAATGTAACCCAGAACTGAGGATGTGTATTGGTCAAGATCAAGCGAACCTCCATTTTCAGCAGCTTCTCTGAAAACCTGCCAGTCTGTTCGATCAAAACAATCTCTCAGTATGGGGCCACTGTCCTGGATCCAGCATTTTACTTCCTTTTGTACCGGTCTGGAGCGTCTCAGCGGGGGCATGTAAGCAGGAGCCAGGAAGATTGAGATGTGGTCTGACAGTCCTAGGTGGGGGCGGGGTTCGGCTTTGTATGCATCTTTTACGTTTGTGTAAACACGGTCCAGCGTGTGGTCTCCACGTGTCGGAATCGCCACATGCTGATTAAAGCTTGGGAGACTGTCCTTTAGATTCACGTGGTTAAAGTCTCCGGCTACAATGTAAAGAGCCTGGGGGTGTTTGCTCTGCAGCGAGCTGATGATATCATGAAGCTCCTGTAGTGATTCATTAGCATTAGCGTCAGGAGGAATGTAAACGACAGAGATGAAAGTCACCGTGAACTCGCGGGGTAGATAATGTGGCCGACATTTCACTGTTATTTGCTCCAAAGCCTTCGAGCATGAGCTATTTACAACAGTACAGTTCGTGGACCAACTTTTACTCACGTAAATGCACACTCCGCCTCCCCGTGATTTCCCCGTTAGCTCGCTGCAGCGGTCCGCTCGAAAAAAAAGTCTGTCATCCAGCTGGAAGACTGTGTCCGGTGTTTCGCTTGTAATCCACGTTTCCGTGAGGCAAAGCACTGCACACTTCTTCATCTCTTCTGAGGCGCCCGCTCTCAGACAAAGTAAATCCATCTTGTTGTCCAACGAGCGGACATTCGACAGAAAGAGAGACGGCATGGGGAGTTTACCGGCTTTAGCGTTAGCTCGTAGCCTCACCATAACCCCCGCCCAGCATCCTCTCCTCTTAAGCCGGGAGCAGCGCTTCCAAAACACCAAAGAAGAAAAAGAACTTCCTTTACAGCTGACTCAGACACTGATTGGTTGAGTTTTCGACAGATGAGGAATAAATGTACAACTGCTGTCAAAGCAGCAAAATGCAACTATTTCTTATCTGAGACCTCCAAAAATCTAAATGACCCCAACAGATTCTGGAAAACCATCAAATCTCTCTCAGGCACCCCCCAATCATCTGACCTCCCATCACAACTTCTCGTTAACTCTGTTCCTGTGTGAAATAAGCACGAGATCCTGAACTGTTTCAACAAACATTTTGTTGCTTCTGGTTCTTTATTTGACACAGTTACTAACAGAAGATCAGCCACTTCACTTAATAACCAAACTTCTACAAATCAAATCCCTCCTACAAGTCAATCCTCAGTTAATCACAGCTTCTCTTTTTCTCTGTTCTCAGTCAGTGAGGTCAATAAACTGTTAAAAAATCTTGATCCT